CATACAACATGGCATCACTAAATAAAAATCTTTAGCGCAAAATTAAATATAAGCCACCTTGAACAGCCTCCCAATAGTGTCTCTCAGCTTATTTCTCACAAAAATAATTGCAAAGATTTATTCATATTGATTTCACAGAATTATAGAGTTGGAGAGGATTTTTCTTGTCATCTACTGTAGTCCAGGGTTTCTCAACCTTGGACATTTTAAGATGTGTGGATATCAACTCCCAGAATTGCTCGGCCAGCATACTGGTTGGGAAATCTAGGAGTTGAAGTCCATACATCTTAAAGTTGCTGAGAAACACTGATCTGATCCACTACTTTGCCTGAAATTCGGAGAGAAAACACATGCAACCTTATGTTCACCAGCCTGTTGAGAGAGCTAATGAACAGAATAAAATGGAGCGATTATTTCCCATAATTTGGAAAATATGAGCACTTCCACACCATCATCATTTTCACTTTTCAGTCTGGCCAAAGCAGTTCAATACTGGCTTGTGATTGTCACTTCTACTGAAGCCAATCAACAAAGAAATTATTCTATCAACGTGTCATCCGTCAAGCTCCAACAGGTCCTGGCGTTTTAAAAAACCCCTGTCCTTATTAAACAGTTAGCTGAGTCCCTTGCCCCTCTCCCTTCACCCAGGTGCTATAATGGGAGCCTCTGTAAAATCTACGTGAAAAATGATCGTTTGTAAACTTCAAAGTCATTTTGCAACCATTCCTGCTGTGTTTCATAAAAGCTTTTGAAGATGAATTTGGAATGTTGCATAGAAAACGCTGCCTTTGTTCTGGTTTCAAATAAACGGCTGCAGAGTTAGGAAAACAATCAACTCAGCTCTCAGAGTCAGCTAAAGTGGAGCCCAGAAGCTGAGTTGACTCTGAAACTTCAAGAAAAGTCCTCATGAAGAACTGCATGAAACGTAAAATCCCATTGCCCTTTATTGCAGCTACATAACTGTTGATTCAAAATGATCATTTGCACATATTGCCTAACCTAATGCTCCCTACAACACACACACACACACACACACACACACACACACACACACACACACAAAATTGACCACTGGGTATTCCAGTATTGTTTAAAGCAGCTATTTTAGGTAATTTCATGGAAAATAAAGAGCAGCCCCTTCATACTGTATACAGTTAAATATTCTAACCTGAATACTCATTTCTGGAACCTCTGTCCTATTCTCCACACCCATTTAATGAAACAGTACAGTAGATTATCTGAAACATTTGAAATGTACTTCATGAAAAAAAATCTTTGATACCTCCTCTTGACCCAAAGGTGCTTTTTCAGGAGGCAACTGGACTTTCTTGTTTTTTCTTTGAAGACTCTTCACTTCTCATCCAAGCAGCTTTTTCAGCTCTGACAAGATAGTGGGGAATGGAAGGATTTATATTCCTTGCAGACAGCTGGTCAGTTACATCCTTTTAGAGGGTCATTGAAGCACTTGGCGGTTTATCTGTATCCTCAGGGTCACCTGAGTAGTGCTCCTGGTTCCTGTAGTCTGCAATTTCCCCCCCCACCTCTGGAAATCCATTCCTACTCCCACACCACTCAAAGGGTGTTCATCCCAAATTGTATAGCTAAAAGTCTGTAGAGATTCTCAGTCATCCAGGTCATGGTTGTCCCAAATATGTTTTTTCAGGAGGCAATTGGACTTTCTTGGTTTTTTTTTTTCTTTGAAGATGTTTCACTTCTCATCCAAGAAGCTTCTTCAGCTCTGACAGGATAGTGGGGAATGGAAGGATTTATATTCAAAGAAAAAACAAGAAAGTCCAGTTGCCTCCTGAAAAAGCACTTTTGGGACAACCATGATCTGGATGATTGAGGGTCTCTGCAGACTTTTACCTCCTCTTGAGTTGGCAATTAATCATCGATTACAGCTAAATTGCTTTTTTAAAAGAAAAAAAACATTTTATTCATTCATTTCTTTAAAAAGACAGATACAGTGCTGCTTCTTTTGAATTTCTGTGCAGTTGCATGCTTTTTACAAAGTATAGGCTGTGTTCACACATCATACTTAAACAAGGCAGGTAACTGAAAAAAATAGTTTCTGCAGCTGCCTGATGCTACACCTGGTTTGTGTGAATTAGTTAGATGTTTTTGTGTCTTAGCCTGGTGGTACAAATCCAGCCTCTTCAGTTATTTTATGATACAGAGCACCCGTTTCCCCCAAATATCTTAGCAATCTCTCGCCAGGTTCAGCATGAGAGCTTTATGTAGCCCTATTATTCCTCCTCCTTCTCTATTTCATCCTTTAAAAAGAAGTTGTATTTTTGCTAATTACATTCCAAGGATAGAAAAGTTCCCGTCAGGTCAATCAAGTTGAATTTTTCTCCATGTTCAAGATAATTTTTCAAATTCATATTCCATCCACAACAAAATCCTGGGCTAGTCTACTCCAATTGTGTCTTGTGTTTGTGAGTGGCTTATGGTATGGTTTACTGGGCATCTTTAACGCTTCTCCAGTTTCACAAGTAGCATCCAAGCCCAGAGGCATCTGACTGAAGCACTAAGCAAAAGGGTAGTTGGGAATGGAAAATCATGGTCAATTCTTGCTTGGAAACAGAGGCAGCAATGGCAGTGGAGGGAGGGGGGACGACAGGCAGAGGAGAGTGGATGGTGGTATAGACAATATTCATTGCACAGGTCAAACCTGCTTAGAAGAAAGGGAAAGTTCATACAGTAGGTATAAAGAAAGCCAATGACTAATCACAGTGCAGCAGGATGGAACATGGCAAAATCATCTGTGGCTGAGGCCAGCATCTTATATGATCTAAGTGGAGGATTAAAGTCACTGATTTCATGATGCAGCCAAAGCCATTCAGAGAGATGCTCTCCAGCTTTTGAGTTCTCAAATTTTGGCGATCCAATTTAGATGAATAATTTCTAGAAGCAATGTTGATCTTTCAAACGGGATCAGTGTATCATTGCTGGGGATTAGCAGGAAGTGTATTCAACAGCTCTTTTTATGCTTTTATTTATTTATTTGATTTACGACTAGTGAATGTCCGTGGCATTGAAATGATCTTATATACAGACTAAAGACGATTACGATTATGAAATATTACAATATCTAGCTATCTATCAAAATCTTGGTGGACTGCCAAAATAAGCCTGGCTTATCCCAACTCACAGAATGGATAGGGTGGAGTTGTACTTTGTACCAGCGATTGAAGTATTGGCCAATTACAACCAGTGCCCAGAGAGTGTACTGTAGTTAATGGTGACGGCAATAGATAAATGTTCTCCGCCCAACTGAGCTGGCATTGGGATTGGGATTATACAGCAATCTGGGTGATCCGGAACATTTGCAATCAATGAGAAGCATCCTGCAAATTTGGGTACCTGGTATGTATCAGGGGTGAAATCCAACAGGTTCTGACAAGTTCTGGAGAACCGGTAGCAGAAATTTTGAGCAGTTCGGAGAACCAGTAGCAGAAATTTTGAGTAGTTCGGAGAACCGACAAATACCACCTCTGGCTGACCCCAGAGTGGGGTGGGAATGGAGTTTTTGTGGTATCCTTCCCCTGCCACGCCCACCAAGCCATGTCACGCCCACCAAGCCACGCCCATAGAACCAGTAGTAAAAAAAATTGGATTTCACCATTGGTATGTATAGAAACATTCCAGACTGTTTCTGGTTTACAACTCAAAGAATTCTACAGAAATAGATCAAAATATTTTCAATCATCTCCAAACTGAGTGTCAGGCTTGCCTCCTTTCAATATTCAAGAAAGGAAAACCCCGACTCCATTTTTATAGAGAAAGGTACTTTTACTGAGTATGAACTGAATGCAACCAAAGAAAAGCAAGGTCTGAAGCAAAAGGCCCGAAAATTACATATAGAAAGCATCCCCAAAAGCCTTCCCCCAACTGTCCAGCATAAGTAGGAGCCTTGGTAGTACAGTGGTTTAAAGCACCCTGTTATTAACACAGCTGCCTGCAATTACTGCAGGTTCGAATCTTACCAGGCTCAAGGTTGACTCAGCCTTCCATCCTTTCTAAGGTAGGTTAAATGAGGACCCAGTTTGTGGGGGCAATAAGCTGACTTTGTATAAATATACAAAAGTATGAAGGCTATTGCTTAACGCATTGTAAGCTGCCCTGAGTCTCCGGAGAAGGCTGACATATAAATTAAATAAAAAAAAAAAAGTCATCCAATCCACAATTCCCCAGGGGTCATGTGGGTGCAATGTCTGGTGGTGCCATCCTCCTGCTATGCCATGGCAGTTGACCTTGAGTTGTTATCATCTTCAAAGAAACGCTGAAGCAAAGTTTCTCTCTTCTTCTCCACCAGCTCACTTCCCCCCTCCCCTTCCATTTAATCATATCCGATTCTGGGAGACTTCCTGGACTGCAGTTTTCTTGGCAACTTTTTTCAGAAGTAGTTTGCCATCATCTCCTTCCTGGGGATGAGAAAAAAATGACTGGCCCAGTTCACCCAATTGGCTTTGGGCCTAAGGAGGGACTAGAACTCATAGTTTCTAGCCTGATGCCTTAGCCACTACACTAAACTGGCTCTCCATGCTATAATTATTTCTATTATTGTTCTTTTTAAGTTTTTTTTATCCCTTTTCGAACCAAAGCAACCTGGAGCCTTGAATAAAAAGAATATCTTTATTTTATTTATTCTTATTTTGCTTATTAATATCCTTTTATTATTTTTACAAATAATTGAAGGCAGCAAACATATCCAACACATCTTCCGTCTTCCATTTTCCCACAACAACAACCCTGTGAGATGAGTTGGGCTTAGAGAGAGTGATTGGCCCAAGGTCACCCAGATGGCTTCCATGGCTAGACTGAGATTTGAACTCACACATCTCTTGCTTTCTAGCCTGGTGCATTAACCACTAAGCCAACTGGCCCTCTTAAAAGCAATGTTTAGTAAAACTGGTTAGGGAAAACAGTTAACAATAAAGCCACCTATTATTAAATAAGGAAATGAAACAATATTGTAAGAAGCAGTGGTGGGATTCGGCTGGTTTGGGAGAACCGGTAGTTAAATTGCTGTTTGGCCCCTCCCCTTGCAGGAATCCCCACGTGCCCCATTTTGGCTCCCAGGTAAGTGCAGAGATGCCTCCTAGACCCAAAACAGGGTGCGGGGGGGCGCCCCTCCCCACACGGCCCATTTTCACTCCCAGGAGGCTTCAGGGAGGCTTCCTAGGCCCCTTTTTGCTTCCCAGGAGGCTTCATGGAGGCCTCCTAGGCACATTTTTACTCCCAAGAGGCTTCAGGGAGGCTTCCTAGGCCCGTTTTCACTTCCCAGGAGGCTTCAGGGAGGCTTCCTAGGCCCAAAACGGGGTGTGGGAGGGTGCGGCACAGCCCCCTGTGGCCCGGTTTTTGCTCCCGGGGGTGGTGGTGCAGGGAGGCCTACTACGCGCAAAATGGGGCAGGGGGGGGGGGGGACGGCATGTGTCCCCCCTTCCCACGGCCCATTTTTGCTCCCAGGGTAGTGGAGGAGCGGAGTGCTGCCTTGTCACACCCCTTGGCCATGCCCATCCAGTTGGTCATTAGGATAGAGAACTGGTTGTTAAATTATTTGAATCCCACCACTGGTAAGAACATAAGCACTACATGAATTAAAATAAAGTTCACCTTTAAAAGGCAAGCAGGTCTGGAGCATCTGATCTCCTAAAAAAAGTTGCAATATAAAGGAAGATAGCATGAGAATCAGCTTCATTTCGTGAAACATAGAGACCCTCCGTCAAGAAGGTCATATTAATAGTAACTCCACTATGAGCCATCCCACCAGTGGAAACCTAGGCAGGACTTCCAATTTGATATTTGCAGAATGGGGTGTTATTAGGAGGGATACATATGTTTAAGTATTTGATTTTTACACTATTTAGGGCTACTTGTATGTTAATTCTAACGTTTAAATACGGGGGGGCGGGAATCAACAGTCAGCTTGCCAGTCAGAACTAACCTTAGCAAAGGGCAGAGAGAAAAGAGATATGATAACGCTATTATCTACTCCTGCAACAATAGTGCAGGAAATTACCATCCCAATAGCAAAAATAGAGCTTAATCCCATCTGTTTATTTTCCAAAACAATATATGCCATCATTTGCCAGGCAAACTCCATTGCATGTTACACAAGTGAGCAGAGCCATCTCTATTAGATACATTAAATAAATGGTAATCTGATTTCAGAAGTGGCAATATTCTGAGCACTTCAAATGTTCTTCTTCCCCACAGGACAAAGGATTTGTAAAAAAAAAAAAAAAAAAACCAAATCAAGCTTGTCTCTTGCTATCTCCCTATAGGTTTTTCTCCTGGCAACAAAATAGAAGTGATTTTCCATTCTCTTCTTCCAGGATATTCTTCCAATTTTCTCAGTCTCACCTAATACTTTGGAATTTCCTTGTGAGCTTGTTAAGATACGAGGATCTAGCCCAAGAAATACTCAGAATCAATGGTATGTTCCAATCATATTTATTGAGTCAACTTTGCTCTCTTACAGGTGAAGTTGCAGTGTACCCCAGTACCTCATGTATGTCGCTTAAGTACTAGGGAGGCGTGACTAAAGGTAAGGAGGAGTTGTGGGAAAGGTGAGGGTGTGGGTGTTAACCCTTACTGTACCAGGTAGGAAGTGGTATGGGAGTTAGGCATTTATATGTGACAGAGCTCTCTTCTATATGGGAACCAAGTTATACCCTGCTTAGCTTTTCGGGGGCTCAACCAAGATATACTAGAAGCCACCATGTAGCTGGACTCAAAGGTAGTGGCTTTCTACCAAAAAAAGATGGGCTACAACTCATCAAAAGTGTTCACTTCTGTCTCAGAACAGGGAAAGGATTTTTTTTTTAAAAAAAAATCACAATGCATGTTTAAATAGGAAAGGAAGGCCAGGGTTATGAATGGCTTCTATTATTGATCACTGCCTCTTCTTTCTGGAACTCTATAAATGCACTTTTTAATAATAGACTGTAAAAGCAATGTGCATGTATGCTTTCAAATCTGAAAGATGCTTCAGGCACTTGAAAAAGGGGGCTGAACTAACGGTTTATGCCATTAATAATCACATTCACTTTTGTGCCACCAGAGGCTTTGCATTTAAAAGCCTGGATTCTTCCTAATTCAAATCGAAGCCAAGAAAATAAATCTATTCCCTTACCTGAATTCCACAAAGCCAGAATTAGCTATCTATTTTCCTAGGGAGGTGGGGAATGGGTGGTGTCAGCCCTGGAAGCCATCTTTTACTTTGGATCTTCAGAGCTGCCACATTTAGTGCTGTGGGAAACTGGGAGGGGGGGATTGTATGGAGTTGGGGAGATATCTAGCCATAATAACATTCTTTTCTCTGAGAGTCAAGGACATTCTGCCCTGCACCTGGAGTGGCATTACTGGGAGGCATCTCCAGTTGGGACGGTGCAACAATTGGACCATGTGATGGACATGTGGGTACTGGGGCAGGGACTTGGACTTTCTTTTGGGTGGGGAAAACCTGGATGCTTTCAGATTCGGATTTTCCCAGATGTGCCAATATGACATCTCTAATAAAATAGAATTTTGAGGAATTTCTAGCCTCAGAGTCTTCTTTCATTGGGGGTGTCACTTGGAACCCTGACAGGTGGTACATTTTGTTTGTCCAAATGTCTCCCTTCTGTTTGCTTCTAATGCTGCACACCAGACAGAAAGAGAGATGGGAGAGTTCAGTTGGAGGATTGTGTGTGGAGGTTTGAAAGTTTATCTGGGAAGGTGGAAGAGATCAGATCTCATCAGACTTCCAGTCTGGGGCAAGGTCTTTGGGTTCCAGATCTATTTGCAATTGCTAGGATTCAGCAGGCAATTTTCTAATACTGAAAGAATAGAACTCACCATAATCCAACTCAGTCATGGGCTACCTGGTGGATAGTTGTAGTGAAATGATGTTTGTAAGTCACAAACAGTCAAACATGATTGAACAACCATCATAACTTGGCTGCGAAAATGTGGATTACTACAAGTGGCAACAAAATACAGTATAGAACTATCCAACTGTTTGTTGCCATCTGCTAGTCATCTTTATGTTTGCAGCCCAGATCCATGGTTTGGATAAAGTGCTATCAAGTTACTTAAGCATCACTCAACTTAGTAACATGCAACTCAGCATCCACATAGATGAGCCTTCCCCAGGATGATCTGCCACTTCAAATCCTCCAACAGCGCACTCATTGCTACTATAATCAACTCTATACACATCAATCTATTCTTTTTCTATGTAGACCTCAGTAAATCTGATGGGTCTTTAAAGGAACCCAAGAAATCTCATGTTCATTTGGAATATTGTAGGCTAGATGTGATAGCCCTAATACTGTATTTTATTTATTTATTTTGTTTTATTTCGAATTTATATACTGCACCTTCTCCCGAGGGACTCAGGGCAGTGTACAGCCAGCTAAAAACTTACAATACAAACATTAAAAACAATTAAAAGGATATATATTAATTTGGCCCCAATTTAAAATGACAAACCAGTTAAAAATGTTTTTAAAAAATGTTATGTTAAGCCAGCCCGGCTTGCTGGAAAAAGAAAGTTTTAAGGGCATGGCGGAAGGCACCGAGGTCTTAAATTCTCCTTATCTCTTGGGGCAGCTGATTCCAGAGGGTAGGTGCCCCCACAGAGAAGGCCCTCCCCCTGGGAGTCACCAGCCTACATTGTTTGGCTGATGGCACCCCGAGGAGGCCCTCTCTGTGAGAGCGCACAGGTCGGTGGGAGGTCATCGGTAGCAGCAGGCGGTCTCAAAGATAACTAGGTCCTATGCCATGGAGCGCTTTAAAGGTGGTGACCAAAACCTTGAAGCGCACCCGGAAGACCACTGGGAGCCAGTGCAGCTCACGCAGGAGTGGTGTTATGGTGGGAGCGCCAGGCAGCTCTCGTAATTATCCGCGCGGTCGCATTCTGGACCAGTTGGAGCCTCCGGGTGCTCCTCAAGGGGAGCCCCATGTAGAAAGCGTTGCAGTAGTCCAGGCGCGAGGTGACGAGGGCATGAGTGACTGTGCACCGGGAATCCCGATCAAGAAAGGGCCGCAACTGGCGGATCAGGCGAACCTGACAAAAGGTCCCCCTGGCTACCGCCGTCAGATGTTCCTCTAAAGACAGCTGTGTATCGAGAAGGACACCCAGATTGCGCGCCTTCTCCGCGGGGGCCAAAGACTCGCCCCTGATAGTCGGTGATGGAGTCAACTGACTATATTGGGATGCCGGGAACCACAGCCACTCAGTCTTGGAAGGGTTGAGCTTGAGCCATCCCCCAAACCCAATCAACTGGGAAAATAGCTGAGACCCATGTAGTCAATTTTCCCCAAATTTGATAGAAGTGCTACACATATGAGCATGCAATGCATTTTATATCAGGAGCCAAACTTTGCATTTCCTCCAAGATCTCAAATGAATGTGCCTTGTACACTTCCTTTCTAATTTTTTTTTGTTCCCCAATTGAGAGAATGAAACTAAACTTGGGGGCTAAATTTAACCTTTTCTCCCAGAAATAGACCTTTTGATATTCCTACAATATATTGACCCTTTAAGCATAGTCTAGTTGTAGGGCCACTATGTTTATTTAATGGTGAAGGAAAAAACCCTGCATGTGCTTAAATTTACTCATCCTGTTACTTCTCAAAACAGTCTAGCATGTTATTATCCCCAATCAGCCAATCAGAAGATGCTGGTCCCTTCCCATCTCATAAAGTTAAAGTCCTAATAACAGACACCTAGTTAGCTCGCCATTATATAAGGAAGATCTGTTGTCCTATTCTTTCCTCCAAAAATTTAATTACATTTTTTACCCCAAAGCCGAAGGCTCACATTTTGTAGAGGAAGGAATGACAGAAGCTGCTGGTTGTGGTGGTGGAGTGAGTGATGGGCTGCCCCGGTTCAGACCGATTCTATAGAACCGGTAGTAAAACCTGTGGGAGGCTCCACACACTGACCCCGATGTCATCAGGAAGCTTCTGCACATGCGTGTGGCCCTGTTGCGAACCAGTAGTAAAGATAAATAGAACCCAACCCTGGGTGGAGTTAAAAGAGGGCTCAGCCTGGAATCTCTACATAGCCACAAGTGCACAAAGTCCAATTCTCTCCCCCTCCCCCATTTTGTTGAGTCATATCTAAGTCTTAGCATTTGCTAATGTTAGTTGAGAAGATTCTTATCAGTGGTGGGTTTCTACTTGTTCGCCGCAGTTCGGGCGAACCGGGAGTGGCTGCGGCGGGAGCCTCCGCCCACCTGCCCAGATGTCATCATGGACACTCTGCGCATGCGCAGAAGGTTCTGCACATGCACAGAAGTGCAGCACATAAGCGAAGTGAGCACATGCATGCACACGCTCACAGTTCTGAACCAGTAGCGAAGGTAAGTAGAACCCACTACTGATTCTTATGTATAGGCGTAGGTAGCAATGCATTAGTTTAATTGGACCTTCATGTGTAGATCTTATCTTTCATGCCTGACACATTATTAGTGCCATAACTAATTCCTGCTCATGTCCCAGAACTGAGTCTCAACAATCCTAATACATGCTGATGGTGCATGAACTGCTGAATTCTTTGTAAAGTTCCATGCTCTCGCCATTCCAGAGTTGCCCCTTTCCTGTTCTCTTGACCCTGGAAACTTGTTGGTCCTCTTCCAGTCTCATTGTGTCTTTATGAAAGCAACAAGTTCCTTCATTTCATAAACAATGGGAGTCATTTGAGCTGTTATTTCCCCCTCGAGCTGGGCCACAGCCAGGTGGAACAAGGCAACATCATACCGCTTACAGCTGGGCCTGAAGGCATTTTTTAAAATACCCAGCAAGATGAAGAACCAAGAGTTGTGAGCAGGCACCTTGCATTGCATCTCCAACCAGGAATGGAAAAGTTGGCTTTGGAGGGGACAACCTAGGGAGGAGAAAGCAAACCTTAGCCATTAAGCAAAGCAGTTGCTAAGTGGAATGGTGACTGTGCTTAAATCTTACTTCAGGTTTCCTTTGCTTTATAGACCTGTGAAGGTTGAAAATGCAAGGATAGATCATACACAGGTAAAGCAAAGGAAAGATGAAGTAAAATGGTTAGCTAAACAAAGGACTATCTGTATAGTTTCCAAGTCAGGGGAGGTAACACTCTCTTTCTTTCTGTATTCATTGAGGCCATCTCAATTACTTGGTCTAGTTGTACACTATACCAGGGGTCTCCAACCTTGGCAACTTTAAGACTTGTGGACTTCAACTCCCCGAATTCCTCAGCCAGCAAATTCTGGGAGTTGAAGTCCACAAGTCTTAAAGTTGCCAAGGTTGGAGACCCCTGCACTACACACTTGAAATTCAGATAAATGACTCCATGGCTCGAGATAGATTTGAATCCTTTTGCCTGCATGCTTCCCTCTGCCCAGAGCATTTTCTGTGGCTGCTGTAACCTTTGAAATTCTCCTCCCCTGAAAGTTACAGTGACGGCCTTTCTTTACTTTTGCTTCAAAAATAGGCACCAAATTTTTGGGGAACCAGACAGTAAGAGTGCTGACAGGTAAGACAATGGCTAGAAGTTATGGGTTGATTCTCCTTTGATTTTATAGTGAATGGTGCTTTTATGATTTTAATGTTAGGCTTTGTTTTGTGATGTTTTTACTGTCATGAGCCATCCAGATTCTTGGAACATAGGTGCCATGAAAAACTTACAAAATAAGCAAATAAATAAAGGGTAACAGAATTGGAAAAGGACAGCAAGAAGGACCAGGGACTAGAAACGAAGATCCTGAGCATGTTTTGCCTTGAGGGGAAAAAAACAAACAAACCAAGGAGGCATATCATACAAGCATGTGAAAAGTTGTCACACAGAAGAATGTCAAGGGAAGATAGAAGAATAGGTTTAAATTACAGGCAGCCAAATTTAGATTAAATGTTGGGAGATGGGGGAAACAACCTTAACAATAACAGCAATTGAAGGTGCAACCAATTACTCTCCCATGCTGGATGAGTTTAGAGAAAGGCAAAAGAAAAAAAATCACATTTGTCCACAATGTTTTAATTTGAATTCCTACAGTAAGAAGGCCATTACCCTAGACAACATAAAGAACCTCTTCCAGTTCTATATTTCTATGCTTGATCATACCTAAGATCCATAGGGGTATTTGTGTGTATTTCTCTGTGTGTGTCAAGATGTACAACCAAAATCATCCCCTTCCTTCCTTCCTTCCTTCCTTCCTTCCTTCCTTCCTTCCTTCCTTCCTTCCTTCCCTCCCTCCCTCCCTCCCTCCCTCCCTCCCTCCCTCCTTCTGAATTGTTTCCAGCAATATAAACCAATACACCATGATAGTACATTCCGTAGCTTCATTGTTTGAAAGTGTTCACTTCTGAGTGCACAGCAATTCTAAATTCCTCTCCTACTTCTTGATCACTCTTAATATTATCCTTCTCCTGTAAAATAAATTGGTAAATAGAAGCTTCAAAGATCTGATTCTCCTAATTATTTTTCCAAGTTATTTTTCAATTAGCTGTGGACACTACAGTATAAGGGATAAGGATCTGAGGATTTGTATCTTTCAATTTTCAATTCTGAATTACTTTGCCATATAGAATTCAAATGGAAAACAGGACACCCTGTTTGAATGTTTACAAACAGCCTCATTAATTGAGTCCAAAGGTCTTGTTTGGTCCAGTAATTCTGGGAGAGCAGAAATATACTGCATTTAAGCATGGAAGCCTAAGGTTATCTCTCATGATGATTAATAATTATGCTTTTATATAAACTATCTTGCTGGGTTAGATCCATGTAATTGTCACCCTTTCATTAGCGCTGGCTGGATTTATTAAAGAAACTTGGAAGGCGTGACAGCTTTTTCCCATTTTCTCCTTTCCATTGTTTTCAGAGGTAGACTGTATAAGGCCAGTCAAGGCAGTGTTTCTTAACCTTGGCAACTTTAAGATGTCTGGACTTCAACCTCCAGAATTCCCCAGCCAAGCATGCAGAAACTCTAGTCTAGAAGCTGAATAGATGTCAATAGATTGTCTGCACCATCGCCTTAAATTCATCTGACTTTTAACACCACCGAAGACAGGAATCATCACCAAGTCTTACAGAAGTGGATGAGAACCTCATTTCATGACACTTCTAAACCCATACACACTTCATCTCCATAGCTCTGAAAATCTATTATCGCCTTTGATGATACAATCCCATCAACAATTGCCAGCAACTCTGTTTGGATGCTAATTCTCTGCCTTCCACTGTAACTAGGGTGATTCACCCAGCCGCCTTTTTTGGAACAAGTCCCCACAATGTCCACTTGGTGCATTTCTGAATAGCTAAAACAAAACAAAAGAACATTCGATCCCTCTGAGTGTTTAAAGTGAAACGATGTGCAGAATTTTCTTTTCATCACCTTGGTTCTGGCAAATCAACCCTTCAGTTCTGGGCAGTTAGATTTAATTTAAAATTGTTGAACTTCATGGTTTCAGGCCTTTGCAAGGACACAGATTGGGATGAAACCAAATTGATACATAGTTCACGTAACATGAAATTCAATATGGAAGGATTAGAATTTTAAAGGGTTTTTCCCCTCCACCCCCGCCCCAGAGTTGCTATGTAGAAGCCAGATAAATGTTCTAGATTTGATTTTGGTAGACCCACAAGGCAAAAAACCAAAACAAAACCACCCTTAACTATAGAGAATGGTGCTTCGTTTCTGGTACATGAGCCAGAACTCAGTCTGGTCTGAAGATCTCTGCCTGATATACTCAATCAAATGTAAGAGTAATGCTCAAAAAGTGAAGATAATAAATTCTGCATAAGCTCAGAGGCATATCAAGTGGATTAACTCCAAGCTCTTTAAACAGCTACTTTCATTAGTCAGTTGGAAGATGTAGCAGGGGAAATTTGCAGATGACAGAAACATTGGCATGATAGCAAACTTTCCAAGTAAGAGAAACAAAATTCTTGCTAGCTTAGAAAAGTGGGCTAAAAGTAACAGAATGTAACATGTTATAATAATTTTTGAAGTTCTTTGCTGAAGGAATAAAATTCAAATTTAGGGTGAGAGATACCTGCCATGCTAATAGTCCGTGTACAGGTTTTGTGAAATCACAGCAAATCACACATTGAGCATGAATCAGCAGTGAAATCTGGCTGCTCAAAAGACAAATGCAATTTTTAAAGGCATATTATTTCCATATTACGTTAAGGCAGGGGTCTCCAAACTTGGCAACTTTAATACTTGTGGACTTCAATTCTGGGAGTTGAAGTCCACAAATCTTAAAGTTGCCAAGTTTGGAGACCCCTGCGTTAAGGTATAATTCTATTCTATTCTTTACTCTTTTAATCTTGTGAAAAGAATAGTATGGTAGCTTTCTTCAAGTACTTGAAATTTGTCACATGGATAAAGGTCAAGAACCTGCTCTCTTAATTACAGGAAACAGAATAATGCCCTTAAGTTATAGGATGTCAGATTTCAACTGCAGTTCAGGGAGTTTCCAACTCCCAGACAAAGCAACTCAAGAAGGCAACCAATTTACTGGTATAGTTTTTCACGGCTGGCATCAATGAAGTAACAATGAGCTTTCAGTCTGAATGGCCGTGGCCAGCAGTGAAACATCAGAACAAAAGAAAACTAGACCATGGCTGTTCAGCTTGAAAGCTTATGCTGCTTCAGAGGAGCCCCTGATTTATTTTAGTTATTAGATTTATATCCCACTTTTTCTCTGATGTCTCAAGGCAGCATACATAATACTCCAACTTTCCCCATCACAACCAGCCAAAATATAAATTAGCCCCAAATAAGCTTCCATGGCTGAGAACAGATTTGAACATAGTCCAGTACTTTAACCCAGTGTTTAAGATGTGTGGATTTCAACTCCCAGAGTTCCCCAGCCGGCTATGTCGGAGGATGGGTTGGGAAAGTCCAGGGCATATTACACTGCCTTCACAAAAGGGCCATCATAGTGGATATCACAGAACACAACAAATGTGTGAAAGCAAAATAACTACTATAAAATGTTATTCCCTACTTCTCTTTTCTCCCTGCCCCAGATGCTCTGTATCACCCCAGCACTTTTTCTGGGTAGATTAGACATACTTCCAAAGCAGTGGTGGGTTTCAAAATTTTTTACTACAGGTTCTCTGGGTGTGGCTTGGTGGGCGTGGCATGGCTTGGTGGGCGTGGCATGGTGGCCATGGCAGGGAAAGGATACTGTAAAATCTCCATTCCCTCCCCACTCCAGGGAAAGTTTACTGCAAAATCCCCATTTCCTCCCGATCAGCTGGGATTTGGGAGGCAGAGAATAGATGGGGGTGGGGCCAGTCAGAATTTTTACTACCGGTTCTCCGAATTACTCAGAATTTCCACTACCAGTTCTCCAGAACTGGTCAGAACCTGCTGAAACCCACCTCTGTTCCAAAGCCCCCTTTTAATTTCCTAAAATGGGCCTATAGTTGGAGAAGACTCCTGAGAACATAGACAAGGAAACAAACCAATTGACTTTTTTTTTAAAAAAAAATTCCCTCAGGATGTCCCTGCTATGTGAGAATGGTGGCAAATTTGAGGTTAAAGATGCTGCTGCAGACTTGTGCATTGTTCTGTAGCATGCCAGATCTTCTTCTTTTTTTTTTAATTTGAAGAAAAACAAGTTTTTTTTTTAAAAAAATGTCAAGTAGGCCAGGAACCATTCACAGGAAGGAGATAATGCCACCTCCCAATTCAGCAGAGTGGATCTTAAGAACAGATCTGCCTTGTGAGGATCGAACTGAGGTTTCCAAAGTTTGCATGCTATCTTCAGCAACAGAGCCAGCCAGGAACTTTTAAGGCCAGCAGGGCACGGAGCAAGGAGAAATGACCCACTACGGCATCACCGAAGAACAGAATGGAGTACTGTCCTAAAACCCTGAGAAACTGTTATGTGTAACTTGAATTAAGAAATAGCAGCCAGGGTGCATCTCAAACTGGCAAAGCTCTTGATGAGAAAATGATGTGTTATTGTAAGAAGCCCATTTAAAAATCGCCAAGGGGATTTGAGCAAACAGGCTTGGGGGATGCATCCAAGAACTGTCAAGTCTTCAAGGTACATTGACTTCAACCTCTCTTATGGCACTCAGTAGGAACTCACTGCTATAAAACAGTGGGCAGCAGCATACATCATTCTTTTCGGAATGGTTTCTTCCTGAACAAGTGCATTTAAACAGTGTTGGCTCCAGAGTAAGGAGATAAAATGAATTGGGAAGTAGACATAGTCTCTAGGCTGTTGCTGCTACTTCTCTTTGCCCCCCCCCACACTGTTTACATCCTCAGTGCACTACTAACTTCATTAGTGACAGGTTAAATAGGCAGCAAGGAGGAAAATACTCTAATTTATAGCGGCTTGAGGATGGCATAAAATTACAACTACTGGATCTGCTCTGCAAAAGTCCAAGTGACCACTAGATGGTCTTGTCACTCTGCAAAAACACTTCTAAATGATTTATTGAATAAGCTCCCAAAGTTGGAGATGCACCAGAGTACCAGATCTGAACTGCAAAATACAGCTGAACATTAGGGGGCGGAAAAGAGGTTGATATTCTCATTCTCTCTGCTTCCCTCTAGCACAGGGGTCGGCAAACTTAAACATTCAAACAGCCATTTGGACCCGTTTCCCACAGAAAAGAAAACCCCGGGAGCCACAAAACTCCTTTGACACCTAAAATGAAGATAACACTGCATATATCATTTTTTACCTTTATGCTATGTATAAAAAAACTATAGTGTGCTGCATTTATTAAATCAATGACCTGCAACAGAGAAAACACATTTTTATTTCTGCATGCAACAAAAACATTTTGAACTCTGAAA